GATGTTTATCATAGCACTGCTCAAAATAGCCAAGCTATGGAAACAACCTAGATGCCTTACAGCTGATGAATGGATTAAGAAAATGTGAGATACATATATATACATATACATATATAATGGAGTTTTGCTCAGCCATAAGGAAGAATGGCACATGTGTTTGAAGGTAAATGGATGCAATTGGAGGACATCATGTTAAAGTGAAGTAAGCCAGGTTCAGAAAGTTAAAGGCTAAGTGGAAGATAGATCAAAAAGATAAACATATATCTAAAAGCAAACATGATCATATACAAATTCATGTGTAGAGCATGTTTGTATAGTAGAACTACACTATGGAACTCAGAGAAGGAGGGAAAGGAGAAAATGAATAGTGTCAACAATATCATAATACATAACATCTGTGAAGGTAGAGGATATAACAATGTGTATTGAAAACTTGGAAAATGAGGGCTGGGAGGTAAGGGGTAAGGGAGAGTAATGGAAGGGGTTGAGCAGACCAAAGTAAAGTATACTCACAGCAGGGATACATTGAAAAACCCCTTTGAACATTGACTTAGAAATTAAGAATGAAAGACAGGACTGTAAAATAGGTACAGTGTATGGAGAGGGGTACTTGTAGAAGGGAGAAGGGTGAATTAAAGAGATTAAGGTGAAGGAATGTGGTTGATGGACTTCATATACTTACATGAAATAGAACAATGAAATCTCTTACAATTGCTTTAAGTGGGCAGGGAGGGGGTTGGGGAGAGATGGTAGGGGCAATCTAAATGTACAATATAAACCTGTTTGGAATTTGTCACAACAAATCCCCTATACAATGAATATATCCTAATAAAAAATAACAATATTCAATATTAAATATTCTTTTCCATTTCCTCCATTCTCTACTTCTGGAACTTCTATTTGGCCTTTATTGAAGTTTTTCTATCATCTATTGGCAGTTTTAAAATACGGTCCCCAAATCATTGATGTCCTTTCCTCTTAAGTCTGGTCTGTGTGACTACTTGGATATAAAAAGCATAGCGAAAGTATGCTTGTGCTTGAATCTCAACAACCATATTGTAAGGAAAATCAGGCCACATAGACAAGACACATGCAAGTATTCTGCTTGATGGCCAACATCAATTGTGTAAGGAAAGTTACTTCTGTGTAATACTACCCATAGCCACTATGTTACCCCAGCCTTTGAGCCTTTCTTGCAGACTCCAGGCATCATACAACAGAGATAATCTGCACAATCTGTACAATCTGTCATTGTACCTTATCTAAATCCCTGATTTACAGAGTCCATGAGCACAATAAAATGGCTGTTTTAGTCCTCTTAAATTTTGTGGTGGCTTATTATGTAATATGTGACTATAATATCTTTTTACTGCTCTTTCATGACTTTTACCTTTTTTGTATATTCTGCGCCCCCTTCCTTCCTCCCTCCCTCTCTTCTTCCCTCCCTTTTTGGCTTTTTGAGACAAGATATCACTACCACTATGTCATCCAGACTGGCCTTGAAATAGCTATGTAGCCCAGGCTAGCCACAAACTTGTGATCCTTCTGCCTCTGTCTGCTGAGTGCTGGGATTATAGACATGTACCAACACACCAGGCTTGTTCTGTGTTGTTGATTAATGCCTTAGTTATATTCCAGTTTACTAATTTGTTCTTCAGTACTCCCAGCCTAAATAAATGTAATGCCATCTATTGAAGTTTTAGTACAATGAATATGTTTCATTTATAAAATTTCTTTTTAGCTATATTTGATCTATTTTTATTTTATTTAAGTCTTTTTTGTTTCAAAACTTATTTTGTGAGTATAATTACTTAATTCATCTCTGCAGTCTTACTTTTTATCTTTTTTGGTGGGAATGAGGCTTAAACTCAGGGCTTCATGCTTGCAAAGCAAAGCAGATTTTCTATCACTTGAGTCCCACGTCCAGTCTGTTTTGCTCTGGTTATTTTGGAAATGGGATCTCATAAGCTATTTGCCTGGTCTGCCCTCAAACCACAGTCCTCCTGATCTCAGCCTTCCAAGTAGCTAGGATTATAGGCGTGAGCCACCGGTGACTGGCTGCAGTCTTATTTTGAATGACATATTAAAAAATTGTCTTCTTTTTCCTTTAATTCTGTACCTATGTTCATTTCCTAGACTACCCAGGCATGGTCTAGAATCAGATCTTTTAATAGTGATTTGAGTTTTTATCCTAACATAATATGAGAAATACTACACATGATTTCATTGAGCCAGTTGGCCTCAGAGTTCAGTGCATAGTCTGATGTGTCTGTGTTCTCCAGCTTTTATAAGCCTGCAAGATACTAATGAATAGCTTCAGAAAATTTTTGGCAATGGTTTTTCAACCTTATATGAACAAGATAGGCCTATATTAGACTGGCTGAAGCAGTGACTGTAACTTTTTTTCATGGAGAACATTTTATTCCTGATAACTGCCAAACTGATGACAGCTAATGCCAGATTCCCATTCCAAAACTTAGAAATTCATGGGTTTCATCCTTTCCTACCTTTTATGCCTTTGTTCCATTTCTGGTTTTGCATTATTTAATTCTCTATTTTTCTAATATTTCTATGTTTAGAGCAGAGGCACATAGAAGCATAAGTTTACTTCACCACCTTGCCCGGAGAACCCTTTGTTATTTTCATGTTAACATTATTTTAGTTGTTATATAAACATAACCAATATTGAATATTATTAAAAAGTTATGCATAGTTTTGGAAATGAAATCAAACTTTTGATTGAAAGGTAAGTATATGAGTAGTTTATATACTTTGAAGATATTGAACTCTACAGAAAATAGATATTTGTATAAGAATTATATATAGATGAAATCTTCTAGGAATGAGGAAAAACAAAGTAAGTATAAAACAAGAAAAAGTGCAGACATGATAAAGTAATATACTTATTTATTTTTACAGAATTACTTAAAGCCAGGTAGGTCAGTTCCATTTCTTACATATCTGTATGTCTAATTTCAGCATATAAGTCTATTTTAAATGACATATATATTACACATAGCTTATAAACATAAAAAATCTGCATAATAAAATTTAAGCTTTTCATGTTTAGTATCTATTTGTTTTATACCTGTAATTAAGTTTTTAAGTCATGTGAATATATTTTCCTTTGAAGTTAAAATGTTCAGTATGGATTGAGTTTAACAAGACTAAAGAAACTATGCTTGGTTAGTCTAATACATAAGTTAAAATACTAATTTTCATCAAGATATCTTCTGTGTGGATAATTTCAGTCTTAAAAAATCAGCCTACTGAACAATGAAATAAATTAGAGCATTGAATTATCCACATACTAAAGTAAATATCCATGATTCATATACAAAGAAGAACTTAGTAAGTATGGGAGAAATGACAGACATTCCTTATAGAAAAATTTTATTTACTTAATGCAAAAAGAATCAGGGAATTATAAAATCACTATTAGAATGCCACAATATTAATTGCCTCAGGAAGTAACCAGTAGTGATTTCTAAAATTAGTTCGAGTAGAAACATGACATTTGTATAGATTCAAAGTATTCCTCCAAGAACTTATTAATTAGAAATAGAAAAGCTGAGTTTACAGTGGAGAAGTTTGGCAGACTATCTTAACCAAGTGATCAAGATTAATATCATTTTAGGGCTGGGATATGGCTCAGTGGTAGAGCACTTGCCTAGCATACACAAGGTGCTGGGTTGGATCCCCAGCACTGCAAAAAAGATTAACATCATCTTAACAATCCTGAGCTACTATACACACTTAAATATGATTAACATGGTAGATTTTATGTGGTTTTACAATAAAAAGATTAACATCTCCATGTTATGACATATTGGCATCATACACCTACTGATAGGATGGTCACATCATTTCTGTGGTGTTCCAGTTAATGCATAGCCCAAACTAATCATAAGAAAATAAAACAATTCCAAACTTAGAGTCATTTTACTTCAAAAGTCTTAAAGTCACTTAAGACAAGGAAAGACTAAGGAACTATCATAGGTGGTAGAGATCAACTTAAACCCAACCAAATGCACTGTGGGTTCCTGTATTGCATCTTTGAACAGAAAAAGGACACTAAGGGGATAACTGGTGAAACTGGAATAGAGTAGTCTAACTAATAGAATTGTACCACGGTTAGTTTCTCAATGTTGATGGCTGTACAATGGTTATATAAGATGTTAATTTAAAAGAAGTTAAATGAAGGAACTCTGAATATCTGCAGTTTTATAAGTAAAATTGTGTCATAATATTTTAAAAGGTTAACTTTCTTTGTGCTGCTAGAGACTAAACCCAAGGCCTTGTACATGCTAGGCAGACTCTCTCTCACTGAGTTATATTCATCAAGGACAAAACCCAAGAAATTTCTGGATAATAAACTATATCTGTTTCTCAAATCTAATCAGTTCCTGATGTAACAAAACTTGATGTCGGGTGCCAGTGGCTCATTCCTATAATCCTAGCTTCTTGGGAGGCTGAGGTCAGGAGGATCATGATTGGATACCAACCCAGGCAAATAGTTCACCACACCCCATCTCCAAAATAACCAGAACAAAATGGATTGGAAATGTGGATCAATCAGTAGAATGCCTGCTTTGTGAGCACGGAGTCCTAAGTTCAAATTCCAGTCCCACCAAAACAAAAATAAAAACTGGAAGCTATTTTGCTTCCCTATGCATGCATAACTTTCTACTGCAAAATAAAAGGAAAATGGTCCAACTCTCTCTATGGAGCTAAGCATTTCCTAGGCCAAGAATAATGAACTTCCAGGGAAACATGATTCATTTATTTCTTGCCTATAACTGAGGAAATGGAAAAGTAGTTCCTACCACATATGTGCTTTCTGACAATGGTGCTTCTTTAAACAGATCCCAAATGCAAAAGTATTGACAGATACATGATCTGGGGACCAGGATGTCTGTTTTGTACAAAGCAAACCATTTTCCCATTTTCACCAAACTAGGCACGCTACCTCGCAGTCTACCATCTTTGTTTCAATAAGGATGGGATATTTTTGCATACCAAAAATAGCATTGATTCTCTTCTCCCTCTCAGGGCCATTAGTTAAAGCTACATATATTCATCAGTGACCCTGGCGTGGCTCTCTGATGCTCGAGACCTATTCCTACTAGAATCTGCAGGTAAACTAGAACAATCCTCTGTTTTTACCTCTCCATTGGCATGAGAGAAAGGGAAATTGGGCATAAAGTGCTTAAGAAACCGGAACTCACTAGTGCCAGTGCCAGTGGCTGAGCACATTTCATAATGACAAGGCTGGGATAAGGTTCCATTGCCTCCTTGTACAAGGTTGTTAGGGAAATTACAGTCATCATAGAAATGCTCTTGAATTGTGAACTTGTCTCTATGTTTAATTTTCTGGTAGATGTGTATAATGAAGATCACTGTGACAGAAAGGAGAAAGAGAAAGGAAAGCACAGCCAGAGAGATGACCAAATACTTTGTGGTTGGATTTACCTTTCCAGAATTCTTGGATGGATCCCGGAACCGCAGGTAGGGCTCTGAAAAGCCATCTACCAGCAAAATGTTGAGTGAAGCAGTAGTGGAGAGAGCTGGTTGGCCATGATCCTGAACAAGAATGATCAGTTTCTGCATCATTAGGTCTCTCTCAGATATTTTCCTCAATGTATGGATTTCCCCATTTTGTGGTTGAACAGAAAATAATCCAAGGTCAGTGGCTTTAAGTAAGTGGTATGAAAGCCAAGAATTCTGACCTGAGTCACCATCAACAGCAACTACCTTGGTCACCAGGTACCCTGCCTCTGCTGACCTAGGCACCAGATCATTGCAGGGCAAAGTGCCATTCTGCAGTGGGTACAAGATCATTGGACGGTTGTCATTGTCATCCAGAACAACCACTCTGACAGTAACTTGACTGCTCAGTGATGGGAAACCCCCATCAGTTGCCTTTACCACAAATTGAAAATCTTGGATGGCCTCATAATCCATGGTTCTCAGTGCATAGAGTTTTCCATTGTCTGAATTTATGGAGATGTAAGCAAAGACTGATAGATCTCCACTTTTTGGAGGCAGCAGAGAATATGTTACATGGGCATTCTCACCCAAGTCAAGATCCTCAGCCTGAACTTTGCCAATAAAAACTGCAGGGCTGTTGTTTTCTCTAATGGTCAAGATGTAGGAATCTTCCTGAAACCCTGGAGTATTGTCATTAATGTCAGATATTAGCACCTCTATCACAGTCTCTGTAGACAGGTTGGGCGGTCCAGTATCCATGGCAACAATGGTGATATTATAGCCTGAAACATCCTCCCGATCCAAGCTTCTGTCAGTGAGCAGTGAGTAAGAATTCCGAAATGTAGGTTTGACTACAAAGGGAAAGTCTTCCCTGAGGAAGCAGGTGATTTTTCCTCCCACTCGAATGTCCCTGTCTCGGATGGTGAAGAGGGCCACCACTGTCTGTAGTGGTGAGTCCTCAGGAAGAGGACTGGACACAGAAGAAACTGTCACTTCAGGAGGATTGTCATTTACATCCACCACTTCCACCAGGACTTTGCTGTGGGCTGAAAGTCCTCCTCCATCTGTAGCTTGGATATCAATGTCATATGTTTCTATAGTTTCAAAATCTAGAGGCCCTCGGAGTCGAACTTCTCCAGTTTGAGAGTCAATCTGAAATGTTTGGAGAATTGCTTCTGAGTTTTGAGCTAACGAGTAAGTTATCTGCTTGTTGTTGCCTTCATCTAGGTCTGTGGCAGTCACCACAGCCACGAAAGAACCGTTGGCGCTGTTCTCTGGCACCTGAGCACGATACACCAGGCGCGAGAACTGGGGCACGTGGTCGTTGACATCCAGAACCACTACTCGGATGTGGGCGGTGCCAGACTTGGGAGGGGACCCGCCGTCCACCGCCATAATTGTCAAATTGACTTCAGGCTGCAACTCTCTGTCCAGGGGTTTATCCAACACTAGCTCCGCATATTTGGGCCCGTGGCTGCGGAAGCGGGTGTGCAGGTGGAAATACGTGTTGGCACTAAGCGTGTAGTTTTGCAGACCGTTGATGCCCACGTCCAGATCCTCGGCGCTCTGCAGAGGAAAACGTGAACCCAAGGGGGTGCTTTCTGGAATCTTTAAAACAGGCGCTTTGTTTAGAAAAACTGGGGCATTGTCATTGATATCAAATACTCTGACTTCTACACGGAAAGACTGCAGTGGCTCCACCAGAACAATTTCAAAGTGCAATACGCATGGGTCGGCTTTGCCACAAAGTGACTCCCTATCCAGTTTCTCCTTCACAAACAAATCTCCTGTCTTGCGGTGGAGCCGGAAATGCAGCTTGTTGCCCTCAGAAACCAGCGTAGCCCCGCGCGCAGCCAGCTTCCCTACCTCCAGCCCTAGGTCTTTAGCCACATTGGCCACAAACGAGCCGCTCTCCATCTCCTCCGCCACCGAATAGCGGATGGTGGCCGCACCCCCCACAGATACACACACGAAAAGAAGAAGAGACCCCACTCGCCTGCTTTGCAAAGGTTTTCTGCGCTCCACCTCCATAGTTTCTCACAAGTGCACTCCCTGTGGACGCCACCCAACTGCTGCGGATACAGTTTCACAGAGATACAGTTTCACTTTTGTGAAGAACTCCTGCAACAGGTGCTCGCCCCTTTTCTAGCCTCTAACCGCAGCGTCACCACGGCTTAGCAGAGCCAGGTAAACTGTTTTCCACTTGAAAGAAAAATTGCATTGAGCAATTCAACTCCCCAGTGTATTGTATGTATTAATAGGTATGTTCTCATTCCAGAGAGTTGGGTAGAGGTTGGAAGTTTGTTGTCAGAGCAACGGTAAACTCGCCTATTAATTCCCTTTCAGGAAAAAAAATTCCTTGGGAATTGAGAAGCCAATGAAACTAAACGCAAGCTGAAGTCACTGTACCTGCTAGTCGGTTGGGACCACTGCAGTAATGGGCAAACAGAGACAAGTTAAAGCTATATCTTCACACTCCATAGTCCACCCAGAGGACAAGGAGATGGCAAAAGGATCCTACACTGACTTCTGGAGCCCAAAACAAATATATGTGGTTGCAGGGGTGGGGTGGGGGGAGGGAAAGCAGGGGAGCATGGATGAAGAGGTCAGTAGGAAAGGAAAGAGGACAGGCAGGCATCCTTTAGGAACCTGGGGTGCAGTAGGTACACTGATAGGGAACTAGGCCAACTGGTCTCTTGATTTGCACAAATCCTTGCCCCAGGACCCTCAATTGCTTAGGAAGCAGCTGGCTGCTTGTCTCTTATGATTATGATAGCAGTAATATTTATTAGGTATGGTTTCTATGTTCTGACACTGTGTTAAGTGGTTTACATTCATTCTTAAAATGCAAGGAAACTGTCACAGTCCAAGATCCTCTACCTATAAATATTAGAGATAAAATTTAATTTAATTTTGTCTGCCTCCACCATCTATGCTTTTAAACAATATATCACTCTCTTTCCCAGAGAATGTAGTGGATAAATCAATAAACATAAATGTTTGGCTTTGGACTTTAAAACAGAATAATGGGATCCAATATCCCTTCCCCTATTTTCTTTTTAAACAAATGAAGAAACTAGAGTCTTGAACACTAATCATTTGCCAAGTTCATACAGCTACTCATGGAGCAACAAGAACTAGAATTGACTTCTGACACTGTCTCATACCCATTATGAAGAGCATTTGATATCCCATTTGTGCTCAACATTTTAAATCCTGGATGCTATACAAACAGTTACTGACACTTAAGAGAAGGCTAAACCATATTTTCCAAGTGGGAACTAAGTGAATTTAAACAGAAAGTATGCAAGATATTAAAGATCCTAACATGAAAGAGTTAATGGAGCCCTTGATCTTGATCAAATATCTTAACACCAGGCATAAGTGTACATTTATAAACTGTTTACTTTTGCCTTTTCTTATGAAGTGTGCAGTAATAGTTCTTTCAACCTAGTTTTCTTTCCCTCATTATTTAGCTGAATGTGAGACTGGTGTGTTTAGCTCTAGTTCATTCATTTCTATTACTGCTTTATAGAATTCCAGCATGCATTGTCAATGCCCATTAGCCAAAGACCAGCAAGAAAGCATCTGTGGAACTGATAGAGTGGCTCAAGTGATAGAGTGCTTGCCTAGCAAGTGTGAAGCCCTGAGTTCAAACCCCAGTACTACCAAAATATTAACAAAAAATAATAAAAGAAAATAGAAAGAAAACATCTACAGTTGAACAAAGCTGTATTTATTGACTTATTGCAACAAGGAAAACTGCATGCCTCAGAAAATCATGGGGCATTTCAGTAAGAAGTTGTTGGAGAGGACATGTACTATTTGGTTTTGTGTGGCTAATTTGGGAGAGCTGGTACGAAGTTGAACTTTGATCAGGATTGGGTGCTGTCATAAGCAGAGCTTATCCTATGGTGGGTAAATTAATAATCCTTATGTAGAAGATAAGAAGAACTGGGTGAAGCTAACACTGCTACCGGCAAATAAACCATAGTTACTAATATTTGCCAGGGTAGAGGGGTGTTTGGTCATTTCTATGGACTGAGCAATGTTCTTTTTTGTCTGTGTTTGTTTAGACATGATTATGGTATACTCTTGTTTTTCTCCTGATCCCTAATCATGGTAGAGCCTTGTCTGGTGTTAATGTTGCATGAAATTAGCTTGTTTAACAGGAAACATATACCCTATCTGTGAGTATCAGGCCAGCTCCAAGATGGCAATGACTGACTGCTTTTGTCATTTTCAGTATGAATGCACCGAAATTCACTTACTCATTCTGTTATACTGTATATCATTATTCATGTCACTGTGTACCCATTTAGAGGAAAGAATATATATATGTATAAGTAACATTGATGTCATGGGGTTTGTTCTTTTTCAGCTTTATATGATAGCACCAAACTGTTTTCGAGAAAGTTTTACCAATTTATGCTGTCATCAGCAGTGTAAATTCTAGTTGCTCAAATTCTTATCGAAACCTTGTGTCTTAGTCTGTTTTCTTCCTTTTTCTTTTTTTGGTGGTACTGGGCTTGAATTTAGGGCCTCACACATGGTAGGCAGGTGTTCTATCACTTAAGCTATGCCCATAGGCCTTTTTGCTTTTGTTGTTTTTCAGATAAGACTTGAGTTTTGCCAAGGCTGAGGTCCTGGAATGACAGGTGCACCACCACACCCAACTTATTGCTTGAGATGGGGTCTTGCTAACTTTTGACCTGGGCTGGTCTCAAATCATGATCCTTCTGATTTCTACCTCCTGAGTAGCTGGGATTACAGGCATGAGCAACAGAGCTGGCCTTAGTCTGTTTTCAGTTACAAATAGCACAATACCACAGACCCGGCAATTTGTAAAGAAAAGAGTTTTATTTTGTCTCATGATTCCGGAACAAGGTCAAGGGATCATATCTGATAATGTCCTTCTTGCTGAAAGAATCCAGGTAAAGCAGGGTATCACATGGTGAGAGAAACAGGGAATACAAGAAAGACTTGGTCAAAATGGCTTTTATAATAAACTCACTTTTGAGATAACCCATTAACCTCTTAATCATGTATAATCTCCTAAAGGTGCCACCTATTAATGTGTTGTAATAGGGATCAAATTTCATGTTAATTTTGGAGTAGACAAACCATTTGCATTACTAACCTAGTAAAATTTTACCCATACTGGTGAATATATATGTTCTTAACTCATTGTGTGTTTAATTTGCATTTCTTTGATTATTAAATATTGATGATGTAGGACACTCTAATATATATTTAGTAATCTGGAAATATTTCTTTGGAAGTTTTTGCTCAGTTCTCTTGCCCATTTTTTGTGCTGTGTTGGCCTTTTCCTATTGATTTGTAGTAGTTCTTTATATATTCTGAATTTGAGTTCTGAATATCTCTTTATAAGTAAGAAAAAGAGACATGTTTATACTTGTTCAATGTATGTCCACAGAGAAAAGTCTTGATCAATTTGGATAGAAAAATAAAAGTATAGAATTATTATTTAGCATCATCAAAAAGTTTTTTAAAAGAGACATTTCTTCCAGGGACACACAATTATGTTTCTACAGCCTAGGGAGTTTTTCTCCTCTTTTTTTAATAGTGTTTATTAATTATACAGGGGATTTCATTGTGATATTTCCATACATGCATATAATGTACTTTGATAAAATTTGCACCTCTATTACTCTTCCTCACCACCTTTTAAAAAACAATTTTAATGGGATTCATTATTCTATATTCATACATGCATACAAAGTATTTCAATCATACTCATTCACCCTCTCTTTCACCCTCCCCTTCCCATTGGCTTCCATTCCCAACAGTCCCCTGCTTTACTCTTGCATCATTCATTATTTTTGTGTCCAGATTGTGCATATGAGAGGAGATATTCGATTGTTGTCTTAGTCTGGCTTACTTCACTTAACATGATTATTTTCACCTCTATTCATTTTCCTGCAAGTGACGTAATTTCACTCATCTTTACAGCTAAATTATATATATATATATATATATATATATATATATATATATATATATGACATTTTCTTTATCCATTCATCAGTTGTTGGACACCTAGGCTCATTCCATATTTGGCTATTCTGAAAAATGGTGCTACAAACATAAGTGTGCAGGTATCTCTATCATATGCAAACTTACATTCATTCAGACCCAGGAATGGTATAGCAGGATCATATGGTAGTTCTATTTTTGGTTTTTGAGGAACCTCTATATTGATTTCCATAATGACTACACTAATTTACATTCCCACCAACAGCATATAGGGTTACTTTTTTCTTGAATCTTCACCAATATTTGATTTCTTGATGATTGCCATTCTGACTAGCATAAGATGGAATCTCTCTGCAATTTTGATTTGCATTTCCTTTATGACTAAGGATGTTGAACACTTCTTCACAGATTAATGGGTCATTTGTATTTCTTTTGAGAACTATGTATTTAATTCATTTATTAATTAGATTACTTATTCTTCTGATACTTAATTTTTGAGCTTTTTATATATTCTGGATACTAATCCTTTGATTAATAACTGGCAAAATTTTTCTCCTATGCTTTAGGTTATCTCTTGATTCTGGTAATTACTTCATTTGCTGTGCAGAAGCTTTTTAATTTGATACAATCTCATTTGTCTTATATCCTGGGCAACTGGAGTCCTGTTCAGAAAAGTTTTGCCTATGCCTATTTTTTCCTCTACTAGTTTCAACATTTAGGATTTACATTTAGATCTTTGATCCATTTTGAATTAATTTGTGTACAGGGTAAGAGGTAGGGGTCTAGTTTCAATCTTCTACATTTGTTGAAGAGGCTGTCTTTTCTCCAGCATACATATTTTGTGCTTTCGCTGAAAATCAGATGGTCTTATTTCTGTATCTTCTACTCCATTCCGTTCATCTATATGTCTGTTGTTGTGCTAGTACTATACTGTTTTTGTTACTATGGCTCTGCAATATAATTTGAAGTCAGGTACTGTGATATTCCAGCATTCCTCCTGTTGTTCAGGATTGCCTTGGTTGTCTAGGGTCTTTTGTGTTCCCATATGAATTTCAGGATTGATTTTTCTATTTATGTGAAAAATGACATTGAAACTTTATGGGAGTTGCATTAAATCTATAGATTACTTTTGGCAA